GACTGAAAACAGGGGGGAAACAGCTAACCTGGCTCTCTCCAAAGGCAACAAAATCCACCAACCAGCACCTTTAAAGCTCACTGATTACCATGTTATATCTCCCTAGCTTAATCTGCACAAAAACCATAGTGTAAAAATTGAGAGTTCACAGTTTTACGGGGGGCTATTTGCCGGACTACTTTCCGAGCAGTTGCCAGGCAACCAGTGGAGACGGTTCGCAGCTCCTTCTTGATTCGCTCATTGGTCTATGGTACCCACAACCCAATCACTTCCTTTTGTGCCTCCTTCCAAAACACACAGACAAGAAGACAAAGTAAAAGTTTGCAAATACATTTTGGAGGAACTGGGATACATTTTCTAGTAACAAAGGGAAAATGTTGTTAATTGGCAAAAAATATTGATAATGAAACGGCCGGTAGTTGAGGAAAGATCATGCTCTGATTTAATACAGAAGGAGCTTGCAATGACTTGAAATACAACATGTTTATTAAAATTTAACAGCAGAGGGGGATCGGGATGTGAACCTGGCATCACAGTCCTCTGCTTTCTACGCCCATCATCTACTTCCACCACCTCCCTGCAACTCCGGTGTGGTACTTGAATGTAGCATGTCATTGACTCAGAAAACATTTCCTCTGCACAAAATCCAGGCAGTGATTATGTTTGGCAGCACATGTAATCGGGGAAACAGTTTAGTACTATAGAAACATCATTTCTATTAATCATCACTGGTTTTTGAACCGGTCCCTTTCAAGATTCTTGGAACCTCAGCGCTATCTATCCAACCAGCCTGCGTTCCCGCCAGTTTCGAGAAAAACCTTTGTAATGAGCTGACTTTCACAATGTGAAATCAGAATAACAAAGTGGGTGCAATCTTTGTTCTCATTCAACTTAGTTATTGTTTTTATTTTCAGCAGCAGGAGCAAACCCCTGAGAAAAAACAAGTCCCTTGACATTGATGAAGCAGTCATTTGCTAGATTGATTGTTGCCAATGCATTCAGTTTTTAAAATTGACCAGCTGACTCTTGTGCTTATATTGGGTGACAGGAGCTCCCTTTGAACTGTGACAAACTGTGTTAACTCTGTGTCTTATCTGCCTGATACTCTCCTCTTCCTCACCTGTCCAGTAGCTCTGTTGGTGTCTCATCTGTATTCATCTCCTCTGCTCTCTCCTCCAGTTCTCTTCTCCTCTATCCTGTCCTGGTCATAAAAAGGATGCAATCAGGATACCAAACCAAAATCGAACCAAATCTCTCTCTCTATTGATGTGATGATTAGATCATAAACACATAATTATTTGTCAGATTTTAGAAAAGCATATTTATAAATGCATATTCCATCCCACAGAGGCTAAATTGTCCTCAGAGTTCGTTATTTGGTTTGGGCTGACAGTCACAAACACGGCAACAGTATTGGATGCCAACTACAGGCTGATATTCAATGCAGCAACAGATGTGCATCAATCATTCAATTGTTATTTATTACTTACTGCAGTGTAATCAGTGGATTCTGTGCTCCCTCCATCTGATAACATCTATCTTCACTGCCTCATCCCTTCCGATGTAGCTCTTGTTGCTGTTTCAAGTCCCCCCCCCTTCTCGCGTGAAGTAGATCTGCTGCTTGAATGACACACAGAGGACCCAAGACTTACTTGTGTTGTTGACTCACAATATCTTATTATTTTTGAAGGCTTTAATGCATGATCGCAATGACAGATTTATAGATTCAGGGCAATTTTTAATTAGGTGTTTTTTTTTTTTTTTTCAGGGGGGATATTTTGTTTTGTTTTTTTTAGATCTGGGTCTATTCATAAAACTTTTGGGGCTGTAGCCTTGGAAGCCCAGCCCTAACAATGCTACTGGGCAACACTGGCAGAGCAGAGGGAAAGATTTACTCACATGTGGATTTAGCTCCAACTCCCTGCGCTGGAGTTCAGGAAAATCCAAAGAAAATCAACAGACTAGATTATAGAGAGGTTATAAAACAGCTTGCAGAAGGACTGAATTTGAACTTCGAAGGAAAGACATTCATTTTTAATTTTTGTCATTAAATTTGTTTTGATATTATGTGAAGTGGCTGAGGCAGGAAGGAAGGAGAACATTTTCTTCTCCACTGAGTGATAACAAACAAAGCCCGAAGTCACTGATGCTCAGATCAGATCTTGGGACAGTCAGTTCGAGGACTTTCTGGTCGTTGCTCTATACTTCATTTAAAAGAGATTCTACACAGACTTGTTTTTTTCAAGAAGGTTTAAAAATTAAAAATACTCTTTGAAGGATTTTGAATGTCACACAAGTTTTGAAGAATGTTATATTGGCATGAATTCTTGACAGTGAGATGAAAACTGATGAACAATCGTCTGTTTTGGCATTTCCCAAGAGGAGACAGAGTCACACTGACTAAAAATAGAAATTTCTCATTTCAGGCCCAACAAGGCTTTAGGGGACATGAGAGTGGAGAGGAAAGCCTCCAGTGTTGGCTGCTGAACCTCGACTGGGACAATAATTACTGCACAGTGACTGAAATTAACTTAAAAAACAGAAAATCCTCATATCACCAGTGATTCAATAAAGAATGATTGTGGGTGAACTCAGGACATAAATTAACCACAACAGGACAAATTCTTCTACGTACTACTTTTTATTGAAACCAATGCATATCCATATATGCAGGATTGCACTTTATCATCATTTTTCTCACTTTATCTAATAAACAATTATCTTACCATCATACAATGGGCTCTATATGGAAAGAATGACTACACATTATAAATTGACCTTTATTTATTTGACTGATGCATCCTCCACCACTAGAGAGCAAAGATGCTACAGCAGTGGTTCTCAACCTTTTTGATGTCAAGAACCCCCACATTGATACACATCAGGCCTTGGATGTGTATTTGATAAGATACGGTCTCAGAGATCCTTTATTTCTGATAAGATTTAATTGTTTCATAACTCTCTATATTGTAGATTGTCAGATTAAAAGTGAAGAGTGTGAAACTCATTTTCTCATTGGACTAATGTCTAGTGAATTAAATTATACTGAAATTAAAATATTCCCCATTTTTCTGTGGTCCCCTGGGAATCTCCTCAGAGTCTGACTGCTGTCTGAGCTTCATTGACATATATGATAGGGAAACTTCATTCAACTTGAAATTTTCAGGAGAACCAAACCCTGTATGTTCTGTATGTGTCAGCTTCCCTTCATCGACCTCATCTCAGCCACTGTTAGCCAGAGTGGCTGATGGATGTTCTGCTGACAGTCGACAGTGGGGGAATGTAACTAAGTACATTAACGCAAGTACTGAACGTGTGTACGAGAATTGTAAATATATATCGCAAAACAATAATTCACGATACAAATGTGTGAAGATTCAAATCGTTGAGATGAAAAATAAATTGTGATACTCTTTTTAAACAGAAACACTCTCACTACTTTTGCAGTCAATAGATTAATAAAATTTGTATTTAGTATCTCAGTGGTCGAGAATTAAATAACATGTTTCTGCTAGTCGTTACTTTCATTCAGTCACAACTGCTGACTCACTTTTAGTGCCACTTATGCAGATGGCAAAAACTTGGATAAGATATTTACATGCTGCAGTATATTTATCCAGAATGTTTCTGTTTGATTATCTTGAGTTTAAATATTTCAGTCATTATGACTAAAGTGAATACAGTGAACGAGAATATATATGTGAGTTTGTCGTATAGTGTATAAAATATATTTGATCAAACATCAAAGCTACTCAAGTATTTAAAGAGAATATTTGGAATATTAAGTTGTTAACTAATGAAAGACTTGTGCCTTGAGATGAAAAGCAAAAATCCACCTGATCACCATCCACCTCTTGTTAAAATGAGCGTCAGACTTGGCCGTGTTTCCCAGCTCTCATTTATCTGTGAGAGTGTTTAGTGATAGTGGCAGCCATCAGTCTTAATTGAAGTTGTGTGTTGCAGTCAAACCTCATTTTAAGGCTGTAATGCTTCCAAAATTTGATTTGCTCGGCATTGCCGTTGGCGCATCACAAAACGTAAGTTAATGGTTTTCAAATGTCAGTCTGAGAGCGTGAGAGAGAGAAAGAGGAAGAGAGAGACATTTACTTCAGATGGCTGAAGGGTCGTCAGTCCGTAGATTAGAGATTAAACCTTGAAGACTACGTTTTCCTTCCAACCAAAACCTGACAGGAACCGAGGACTGTATTTTCCTCCTCAGATGTTCCTGACTAATATCAGTCTGAGCAATTTTACAGGCTGTAACTAACGGTTGGAACCATTTTGAAAACAATTTGAGCCTCTTTAAACTGTGAACTCCGTCCTTCAGGTTGGCACAGGTTTTCATTTTCAAGCCGTTAACTGCTGCTGTTCTCAGACATCTGCTCGTCAGATTGATTTGTCTTTCTTGAAAGGTGCAGTGTGCTCCTTTGATTGCTGCACATTTGTCTTTCATCAGTGTTTCATTAGTTTCCTCATTAGATACAAGTGAGAACAAAGAAATGAGAATGTGTGCAGAGCTAAAAAAGGGTGGTGATATATGCAAGAAACAAAGTTCAGCTCAGAAAGTCTGAAAAAAATGAACAAAAGCTGGAAAGCTCCTTTCAGACAGTCAGGCAGGGTTGGATGTGTTTAATATCTTGTGTTTCTGCATACCAAACGCATCTTGGTACACCCTTGTATCACTGTTTGATTCTGTAATAGTGGAAATCTCTTTTTTTTTTATGATTGATATGAAAATGCATTTTAAGACTTTATTTCCTCCTGTATATAAGTGTGAATGTCACAAAGAATCGCACCACAAAACATTATTTTGTCATTGAAGGCTGTTACAATTTAAAACAAACTGCCCATATCCCATATTTCCTCTTTATGGCTGAACCCTGTGTTGCTGTCTGACCTCCTCAACCTGATATATAAGCCTGGTATGGTACCAGTAGATCTAAGACTAACCCAGTAGATCCAGTACTAACTGCTCCGTCTCTGACCTCTGTGATTGACAGGTGTGCTGGTGGTGAATGTGACGTGGAGGAAGAGAACCTACGTGGGAACTCTGTTAGACTGCACCAAACACGACTGGGCTCCTCCAAGGTAATACTACACTGTTTGTCTTTTTCTTGTCTTTCTCCGCCTCTGTGCTTTTCTACAGAGAACTTTAAACGTACGAGACATACTATAATATGTTTTACAGCATTCCCAAAAATCTCCAAATTTCATCTCAGCTTACTGAGTTTAGATATAAAACAATGAGCTGGGAGGTTTGGTTGGAACTGTTGCTCACTATAAAACGTTAGCTCTAAATAGATGTCAGTCGTGACAAGTGTTCGTTAGCTGTGCAACTGTTACACTATGTTTTAACATTGACCATTATCCAGCAGTTGTCACCTCTAGCAGTGGTTGCTGTAAAGCTAGACTATAGTCTGCTATTTATAGTGTGAATTGCTTGCAATGGCAGTTTTTTTATTTTTCCAGAAAATGGAGACATTATGTCCCTTAGTACAGGCGTGCCTAAACTTTTTCCCTTGGAGGGCAAAAATTTAAACTTAATGTGGCTACAGCCCAAAAGTAAACGGCTCTGGTATTATATTGTTATGATGCAAAATGGTACTAGGTTCCCAAGTTCCCTTAATTGACCGACTGCCTGCACAAAGTGCCACTCTGCCTGCCATGCTCAGATTATTCAAAATAGGGACCCCCATACTTTAGACAAAAGATATATGTTATCCGTCAAAAATTTGTTATGTTTCCTTGTAAAAGTTAACTTGTTAAAAAGTTAGCATTGCTCCTTAGTGGAAGATGGTGTAGTATTTATTTCAGGAAATATCATCATCATGGTGAAATATATGCACTGCTTAACTGCAATGATGCTTGTTTATGTGCGGTATTTGTTCCCATGCACAGACAGTTTCAGCCATTGAATTTCAATTCTTAAACAGCAGCAGACCATTTTGTGGGATTATGATTGGCTTGTCACATCGCCACAGGGCAACACAGAAGTGAAAAATTAGGACACTGTTCTATTTTTTGGCCACAAGCAACAAAGCTGCATGAAGAGTTGATGCGTTGCAGTGTGTTTCTATTATAAATGTATATGCGTACAGCCACAGAGTTTCTGTTCATCACAACTGTCAGAGCACCCAGACTGCCTAAAATTATACTTTAAATCAATTTTAATTGTAAACACATTTTAAGGTTAGGCCTCAATATAATTATTCCTACTCATTTCTGCTTGGTGTATTTCCCTGTTTGATCTATCATGTTTAACCATTTTATTGTTATTCTTATTGGCTCTTATTTGCTGCTGATTGTTTATTTGATTAACTGATAAAGAGCACTTATTCTTTTAAAGTGCTTTAATGTTGCTAAAATGATAAAAATGGCTAAATTGGCTCTGGGGCCGTCAGCTGTTGTTCAATGATGAGCTTTAACAAAAACGCTCTCCACTCTGCATCCCAACTGTTTTACAAGTGGAGAGTGGTTTTTGTAATTGCTGAGTGGAAAATGTGACAGTCCCTCCTCGCAGGGCTGAAACCTCTCAATTATTGCTCCTGTATGTAAATGATTGTTGTCATGGCAATTACAGCTTAATCTCAGAAACCAGGGACTAAATTGCTTTTTTCATTTGGGCTCTTGTCACTGCGGATGTCTGTCAGTGCTGTTTTATTATATAATTCAATAGAATAAAATAACATTTGAATGAACCTGTAAATGAAAGATAAAGGATGCAATCATTAAATTAAAAGCACAAAATATAACAAACACACATATGGAAAACAAGTCAGAGATTATAAAAAAACACTAGACCACTCAATCAATCAAAATTCCCTGTTAGATAGAGGTATGAGAGTCACAAATAACCTCAAAATGTCAAAGAAAATACATCAAATTTCAGCTGGACATTCCAGCAGCTTCAGTGACATTCAGAAACACACTGATGTAAAAAAGCAATTACAGACATCATAGGAAATGTGAGATATCATCGCTTTAAAATCACAGAGGGGGACAAGAAAGTCTAGTCTCAACATGCTTTGCCATCTTTTCCATTAATAAGGTGATTAACACCCAAAACAGTCTTTCCAAGGTCAGAATATATTCATTGAGTATTTAACACCAACCAGTGCTGCGATGTAGTGTAATAATTAATGCATTAAAAGGCTAGCATAGATGCCAGGTTCAGGGTCTAGCTTCGAAAATAGAGCCTTACTCTGTAGATATATATAAACCAGTGCATTTTGCTCATCCCAGCGGACAGCTTTTTGATATAAATAACAATGTATGAGTGTGGAAAAGCATCTCCAGTGTTAAGATATGAGGCCCCCTGGTAAACAGCATCAAAAGACTTCAAAGTAGAAGGGATGGTATGTGAATACAAAATGCCTCAATATCAAATGCAGAGATAACTCTGGATTGTACAGGTTTTTTATGTTATCAAAGGAGAAGCAGGCTTTGTACAGAAAAAAATCAATTTTTATCCTTGACGTCTCGGTAAAGTGGTCCACATGAGCCTTGAATGATAATCTGGTTTTTGTCTGGTGGTACAAGAGTTGAATTTGGGTGACGATATGAACAAGTTGTTCTGGGGTTAAATCTTTCAGTCAAAACAGCATCAACAAGAAAAACAGCCTTCTTTTCAGCTTGATGTTTTTTTTGTGTTTATCCATCTTGACTAAAAAAGCTTTCATGAACCACGATACAACACAATACAATGTAAAATGATGAGAAACAAAGCAATACAAAATAATATGACACAATGTGATACAATAAGGTGCAATATAAACATATCATATGATGTGGTATGTTATATTAGGCTATTACATTATGTTACGTTATGCTGATCTAACTGTCTCTTTTCTCACCAAGCAGAAGAATCCTCTAGAAAACAAAACAACTTGGCCATTTAAATACAGCATTAATGATGAATGAACAAACATTGCTGTTTTTCAAGAACGTAAAGATATTGTCTCAGTTGTCATATGCTACTTTTCTGCTGAATGCTTAAAGCTCTACCTACCACACCATCTTGCTATTGAGAGCTTCTTTTTTGTCGTGTTGTTGCTATTTGCCGGACTGGACTAGTGGAGCTAGCAATGGCTAATATTTTGGTAAAGGCTATTTTATGTCTTATGAGGCTACCATACTTTGGCTCGATGTAAACAGGAAGAAGCTGAATACAGTCTGAGCTAGAACTATAACAATGTGTCCCCCTCACACTGATAACACAGATATAAAACCTAATATACAGTCACTAAAAGTATCTGCTTCTTCAACAGTGACTTATATTTATTAACAACACAAGAAATACAAACAGACAGCCTCCCTTGTATAAGGATTTGATTGGTTACTCAGCCAATCACTCATAAATCCCACTGGTTCGGGTGCTGGGCCGCATTTTTGTGGTTTATTTTATACATTATATCTTCATTTAAGTTAGCATTAAAATGCTTAAAAGGTAAAACTAACTTACTAACTGGATATGATGGATATTTTATCGATACAACTGGACACAACACAACAAATCTGTCTCATATCAGAAGCAATTCCAGGCTGTCAGTAAGTGATTATAAAGAGGAATTCTCCTCTAAATCCATTATTTTACTCTTCCTCTTCTAGGTTTTGTGAGTCTCCCTCCAGTGATCCTGAGTTGCCAGGTGGGCGTGGTCGGGGTAAACGGATGCGAATGGCCATGGCCGAGCGGCCCTGCGTTGAGCCGCCCCCTGCTGCCAAAGTCAGGGGTCTATCACAGCACAGGAGCCGTGGAGGTGGTGTGGCTGGAACCACTGCACCCATCCACAGCAAGGGACGGAGAGGAAGCCTGAACCTCATCAACAGCAACTGCCGAACACCTCCTTCTTTTTTCACTGTGGAGGAGGTGAAACCTGCAAACAGCACCTCCTCTCTCTCCTCTGGGAAGCGAAAGAACAAACCGCCAGCTGACCTGGACCTCAGCCTGGTCTCCTCGGATGACATTAAAAACGGGAATGGGAAGAGAATCCGAGCCAAATCCCGCAGCGCCCCATCCACACCGCAGGGCAAATCTGACCCCTCTTTCATGGACCCTGGAGGAGGTTGTGCCTCCTCACCGCCTCCCCCACCAATCCTCATCGACTGCCCCCACCCCAACTGCACTAAACGCTACAAGCACATCAATGGCCTGCGCTACCACCAGACGCATGCGCACCTGGAGGCGGAGGAGCAGAGGAAGCCTGAGCTGGAGCCCATGAAGGATGGGGAGAGTGAGGAACGACTGTCAGACTGTGAGGACACCATCAGCAACATGACATATGACCTCTCAGAGACAAACAACAGCACTAATGCCAACAGCTCTTCTAAGAAACCTGCTCCTCTATATAAGGTAACCACCGTGGGATCTCCTAAGAACAGAAGGCTACTCCTCAGCACTGACCACACCTCCACAGCCAACTCCAAGACCAGAAGAACCTCATTGCTGAAAGATGGGCTGATTGATGACCTTAGCAATCTGCCCATCATCTCCAACATGACTGTAGTTCTGGAGAATTGCATGGTACCAGACAGGAACTCCACGGTAGAGATGCCCAAGCTGGAAGCAGAAGGTTTGATTGACAAAAAGGGTGGTGCATGTGACAAGGGCAAAAAGGCCAATGGGAAGGTAGAGAAGTTGTCCAAGTCAAGGACCAACCGGCCAATTGCTCCAGCCCCTGCTCCCCCTAAGCTTATCGCCATACCCAACACGGCATATCCGACTGGCACAGCAGATACTGCCACCTCACAGCAGCCCTCACCTATGGCAGCCGTAGGCCTCACCAGTAAAAACCTTCCCTTAAAACCCATCAAACCAAAGCTGAGCATTGTTGTGGAACCGAGCCTTGTCAAAGCCACCCTGGTTACCTGCAACAAAGAGACCAGGAAGAAAGAGAAACGGAGGCTGAAGGACAAACATAACAAAGATGCGTCAACCAGGACACCTAATGGCGACAGTAGTGGAATCAAAATGGAAGATGGTGGAGGTGGTTCTAAATTGGGTGTCAAGGAAATTTCTGGAAGCCTTCTGAAGGAGCACCTCAGTAAGCAGGATGTTATGAATGGGCTCACAGAGAGCCAAGAGAGCAGGATGGCCAGTATCCGGGCTGAGGCTGACAAGGTCTACACCTTCACCGACAACGCCCCCAGTCCCTCTATTGGTGGTTCATCACGGCTTGACCCCAGTGGTACTTGCCTGGCAACAGCAGACAGCAAGAACAACAGCCCCGCCTACTCTGACATCTCAGATGCCGGGGATGATGGGGGATCTTCTGAATGTCGCTCAGATGGAATCAGATCCAAGTCTAGCTCCTCAACCTCTTCAGAGGTGAGCTCTAACAGTAACCATGGTAACCCTGGTAAAACCCCACCCACATCATCTGCCCCATCATCAAAGGACCCCCAGTCCCCGTACTACCACAGCTACGAGCCCTACTACCTGCCGGGGTACATGCAGTCGGACAGGCAAAACAGCAGCAGTGTTGCCTTCCACAAAAGCTCTGGCCTTGATGGCAAAGGGAAAGACAGAAAGGAAGAAGTGAAAGAGGACGATAAAAACTCCTGCCATGAGTTCTCAGACTCAAAGAAAGGCGACGGACCACCTCAGTCTCAGCTCCAGCTGGCTATGAGTCAGACCCAGACTGCATTGGCCCAGTCGCTGTATTACGGCCAGTACTCTAGAGGACTGTACATGGACCAGAAACTGTTACTTGCCTCTAAATGCTGTGACCAGACGCACAGTTCCAAGCAGAGGGGTGAGCGGGGACAAGGGGTGAGAGACAGTGAGGACGATAAACACATGGTTGGGGGTTCAGCTGGTGGACCCATGCTAGGTAAAGGTCCAGATGGTGCTAAAGGTTGCTGTCCCAAACCCATCCTGTCCTACGTGGAGATGAGTGAGAGGGGAGAAAGGGGACAGAGTCTGGGCGTAAAGGCGGTGCACGGTGGCATGGTGGACCAGAACCAGGTCTCGATGAAAGACTGTGATGACATCAAGTCACCGTCCTCTTCCTCTTCTTCATCACTCCACAACCCAAACAGTCAGACAGATCTGGACTCAAATGTTTCCTTTTCCAGTGTAAGTTTCTCCCTCTGTCTATAACCTGCCGCCGCCGCTGATGGTGTTGTTGGTGTGCTTTAATGACTGTTGTGTCACAAAGAGATTAATCACACATTGTGTACAGCCAAACCAATAGGTGCTAATAACAAAGACCATGTGGCTTCTGTGGTGCTGTAGCTCTACTTTGACATACTACTTTAGTCATTTTGGTTGAAATCAAAATCGTGTGGTTTGATTTGATGGATGCAAATGTTTTTAATGTTTAGAGTAAAAATTAATGGGGGAAATGTATAATTCCATCTTTAGCTGTAAATGTAAGACATAAACACATAAAGAAACAAAGGAAACATTTCTAATACATAAGTGTTGGTTTTGATATAAGCTGCTTTTTTCATAAAGCTTGTACAGATTTTTAACCATGTCATCTCATGATGCAGTTAACTGCTAATTCTGGCCATGCTGGGTCATGTAAAAAGGTTGTATGAATTGAATGAAAGCTTTGTTTGGGAGGGTAGGTTGTTTTTTCTTCAGTTTGGCCTAAATTCTGCTGTTGGTCATGTGTGAGACGTGTCTTGATTCGTGTCATTGAGAGGGACGCCACACTCCTAACATCACACCTGTGAATGGCCGCCTGCTGTTGAAACGTCGTCATCTTTCATCAACATCACACCCAGAGCCAGTGATAGATGGTCTGTCTATGGTTCTGTTCACTCAAGTACACAGTGTTTCCTCTATAGTCATTCAGCAGCGGTGGGCCATCGCAGCAAGAAATTCTCCAACCCTGCTAAAAAGAAAATGTACAAATGAAAGTCATAAATTAGCCTTCCTTTCCCTCCAAAAAACACAAAAGAGACTAAAGAGCTAACATTTAGACTTATGAAATAGGTATTTAGTTTTAGCTCTGCAACTGGCCATGTAAACAAAAACTGGGACAAAGACGTGGACTGAAGTTGAACTGACCTGAAAATGACTCCCACCCACCACTGTTAACAAAGAATTATAGGGGAAACACTGCAACTAGCACCAACACTTGTCCCCATCGATCTAGCCCTCAGACGGCCCGGCCTGGGCTCACTGCCTGGTTCACAGCAAATACTCAGAGCTACAGAGTCAACATGGGGAGGAGGCCGAGGAGGGTGAAGCAGACATGGGAAAAGAATGGGGAACTACCATGGAGCCTGCCGGGGCCAAGATGACCTCAGGAGGAGGAGGTGGAGGAGAGAGAGGAGGAGGTGTTGGCGGAGATGCTAAAAAAGCCAGGGTACATGGATCCCACGATCTCCTGCCCTCCATCGACATTGAGGAGTCCGACAGGCTGGAGGGGCTAGATGATCAGGGCCAGGAACCAATGGGAGGGCTGTCTGAAGACTCCCAGAGTGCCCGGGCGGCGGTTTCTCCTCCCATGACCCCCCAGCAGCCCTACATCCAGTACCAGCACTCCTCCTACCCACCTTACCTGGCAATGTGTGAGAGCAGTGGGGGCTCCTACAGAGGGGTGTCCCCAACCCTGGTCCACAATTACCCAGGTAAGAGTCTGAGTAAATGTTTGGGTTTACTTTCAAGGAGTAGTTTAATATTTTGGGGAATATGCTTATTCGCTGTCATGCTGAAAGCTTTAAAACTTAAATATTCAATACCTTTTATATTATTAATGGATAAAGTAGCTCACAGTGATACAGAGTACACACAGGTAACTAGAACAGGTATTCATATTAGATAATATTTTAAATGTGCTTGCTTTCTCTGAAACTTTGCAGGTTGAAAAGCTGTAAACTAGAATAATTATGATTTATTAATAGGTTGTATTTGTGCTGCAGTTTAAATTGAAGGGATTAAAAGAGTTGAAACTGAAGCACTGAAAGGGTTTAAAATGTCAGTTCAAATGTAAGTATTGACAGCACTTAAAGTTTCACTTTCACGTTTAAGCCTCATGGACAGCTGAATTTTCAGTTTGTTGGTAAACTGAAAGTGGTCGACCTAACACTTGAAGAGTAAAAGCTGAAAGCAGGGGAACTGTCAGATGAACATTAAGAGATTACAGCAATAGAAATGTCAGTTTATGTTTAAACACTGAAAGCAGTCAAAAGTCAAAAGCAGTCAAATCCAGTCAGTTTAAGTGTAAGAGATGAAAGCAGCTGAACTGTCATCAGCTCTGGAGACCTACTGAGCTTTTTATCCTTTTTTTAGCTGCTTGTAAGGCCCTTGTTTTCACCAAACTCTGATATATCCACTGTACACCTCCTGCCCAGCACCAAACAGCAGACAGACACAGTTGGAGACTAGATGTTGAATAAAGTGGAACATCTAGCAGCTAATGAGCCAGATATTTTTCTCAGGAGCTGGTAAAGACTAAAACAAAGTGAATGTTGGAATTAAATTCAGCAGATGGACAGAGACACCACTCCAATAGAATGACAATGTTGCTGGATGTTGGAAATGTAAAGATACATTGGCAGACAGTTAAATCAAATACAAATTTGTGAAGATTCAAATTGGTAAGATGTCACTCGCATCAGAAGCTACATTGAGGCACAAAGACATCAGTTTAACTTTTACAAAGAAGAGGAAATATGCATTGTTTTGCACAGTTTATATCCTACCTCAGAAATAAAAACGGATTCTCTCATTTGGTAAAGAAAATATAAGATTCAATTTTGTTTGTATAGCGCCAATTCATAACAAAAGTTATCCCAGGACATTTTTCAAATAGAGTAGGTTCTAGACTGTACATTTATTTAAAGGGGAAAATATATTTTGTAGATTTTTGTCTGAAGATAAAAGAATGTTTTTATTGTGAACCCAGTATTGTGAATTACTGTGAATTAACAAATAACGACTTTAGGGACAAATTCCGGGGTCCAGGCCATCTTTTTAAAGCAACAGTTTTGAAGCATAAAAGACAAAGAGAATAAAACAACAAACCGAAATGCATAAATCATAAAGCCAAGGGAAAAAAATTAGAATTACATGTAGTCGAATCTTGCAGTGAGGTTGCAGAAAGCAATCAACTTCTCCACTTAACCTCCCTTCAATGTGTGTAGGAGAAATGGTGGCTGAGAAAAAAGACTCGGTTTTCCCTGTTAAGGTCCTCATTTGTTCATTGAAGATCCAGTGTGTAGGATTTAGTAGCATGTAGCGGTGTAGTTGCAGATCGCAAATCCCTCCCATAAAAACTACGGTGGCCGAAAAATATGCAGAAAACGCAAAAGCCTCTATCTAGAGCCAGAGTTTGGTTTGTTCGTTCTGCGCTACTATACAAACTTCAACATGGCAGATTCCATGGAAGGCGACCCGCAGCATCCGTACATATAAACGCCTCATTCTAAGGTAACAAAAACATATATTCAGATGATTATACACTAATGAAAACATACTTATGAATACTATATTCCATTTCTGACAATAGACCTCCTAAATGTTACACACTGGACCTTTAAATCATTTTATTTCTGTATAAAGTAGATTTAAAAACAACACAAGTTGATGATACTTTCTCACACACACAGAAGATACATGCCCTGATTTTGACAATTTAAAATTCGGGCATTATATGTTTAAATAAGGTTGTTTTTTTTTTTAGATGGCTATACAAAGTCATTGTACTTGTATGTGTGTATGTATGTTACTGTGGCGTGTGTGTGTGTGTGTGTGTGTGTGTGTGTGTGTGTGTGTGTGTGTGTGTGTGTGTGTGTATGTATGTGTGTGTGTATACGTATACCTCTGTGTTTTTGTCCACCAGGTTTCCACTACCCTCTTTATGGTAAGACGGCGGGCAGGGAGGAGTCAGAGGTGACTCCCCCCAGCAGAGGAGGAGTGGTGAGCAGCAAGCAGAGCAGCGATTCATCCTCATCCTCAGCCATGGAGCTTCTGCAGCAGCAGAGCCACCAGTACCACGGAAAATCACCTGCTGTGAGACGCTGCACACTTTACTGCCACATCCACACTGCAGCTCACAGCTCTGATGTTTGTTTTCATTCACACAGCACTGATCTGATGTTTCCTGACGAACACATGCAACAAGATTTGAATAAAAGAGGTTTAAAGACAAAAATAGACGCAGATCTCCTTTACTAGCCTGGTGTGGCTACACATTTTGACAAATAAAGGCAGGTCTCCATTAGAATTCTTTTTTGTCAATATAGACAGTCAGTTGTTCCAACTGTCAATTGTTTGGTTCATTTTACAGAAACTATGAGCACCAAAGTATAATTCATTCAGACTTACTGGCATGGTAAACAAGAGAGACTGAAAAAGCAGCCGACTCCCGACCTTTGAAGTGGCCATAAAGTCTGTCCCATACAGTATGTGTCCATTCCTCCGTTATTAAAATTCCTTTAGTCCGTAAGGGTCCACTGATCAAAGGGTTCCATTAAAATGAACCTGAGTTGTGAATATTGTCATGTGAAGAGTGCTGCTCACTGTCTGTATGCTTGGTGCTGTAAATCTTCGGCTGCCATAAAATGACGTTCACATTCAAGTGTCATGGCAGCGGCATGGCGAAAAAAGTACGACCTGAAAGTCAACCTGTTAGTTGTCAATTTTGCTGAACAAGACTCGGGAGTAGCAGCACAATTAGAAGGTATTTCCCATCTTTGCTGAGCAAGAGTTTTGTGCTAAAGGAATTAAACGCCTGTCCACAATAAAGCAAATAAACGGGCTATTATTAGAAGTTTTACAGTATTAGCCCCTTTATAACCAATTATGCTTAACATCACTGTTGACCATTTCACAAGACACTGCAATGTTTTAAAACCCCTTAGTGCTGTTCTTTCCAAGCAGCTGTTGTTTTCTATTCATTTAACTACAGAATTCACTTGTAGAAACTTGAGTTAAATATTCATTACATTTACTTTTCTTCTTTCTTTTTAAAGTTACAGGATGTTATCCTTGTGTTGTAGTGCAGGGCTAATGATACACACTTATACACTTATACACACTTCTCAAACCTCAATACCATGCAATGCCAATGTAGCAGCCATGTTATTTGAGACTAAACACAATATCAAGTATACTTCATTTGTCTTCGAGATGATTTTCATAGTGTAGAGAAACACATCAAAACTGATTGCTTCCTGGAATAAGATACATAAGAAAAACATGAAAACATTCTTATATGATCCTTTAAGTTTTTAAGTGGCTCATTACTTGTATATAAAGTGAAAGTGAACCACTACCACTTGATAATGACATGATGCTCCTTTATTACTGCTGTGACATCAAATCGTACAGAGGTGCACTCTGCCTCTGAAAATTGCAATCACTTGGCCTACTGGAGCCAGAAAACACACATTTAAGCAATAGAGTGCTGCAGGAATGAGTCCTAAAGTCCAGAAACGAGTTAGCATTTTTCCCTCGTCTGGGTTTTTGGTTAGAGGCCTGAAATAAGGTCTGTGGTGAACAAAAGCTTAAAAGCTTTTCACATTTTGTCCTATGACATGAAATGCGTCAGTAAATATCCCGTCTTTGAATTTTGAAGCTTTTATGTGTCTTAGAAAAGGTGGTTGCTAACACGTGGCTAAATGACAGTAGAGGTTGTCAGTGACATTAAACGTCAGCACATTGAACACGGATACTTATCCACTCACTAGTCTGCCTTTACAGCCTCACTGTGTGTGTGTGTGTGTGTGTGTGTGTGTGTGTGTGTGTGTGTATACTCACACTCTGTTAAGAGCCAACTTGATCTTCAAAAGAATGTCTTGACTGTGAACCTGTAGAGCCAATTTAGGGTTTCAGCATTCACTTCAGTATGGTCAGATTTTTCTTTGAGCAGTGTCAAATGGGCATCAGAGGAACTGCTGCTCAGAAAATTCTAACTTTTCTCAGTAGTAGATGCTGTTTAGTTTTCACTACAGGATCCTGTAGTAATAGGAATATACTGTACACAAACCTACTGCACATTACTACATCTTTCAGTGTCATCAAGTCAGTGAATGTGATCTTAACGTGACTTAGTGTTGGGCTGAAGACTAAACGCAAAGAAACAGTTTGCAGTGTTGGAGAAATCAAAAGTTTAGTAAATAGGTGTAAATCCAGGTGTATGTATGTGTTTGTGCAGCCCGGCGAGAAGGGTTCCCCTGAGGGAGAGAAAGAGACGGAGCGAGAGAGGAACCATGTGTCATTCGCCCGACACCTCCACACACACCATCACACTCACCTGGGTATGAGCTACAACCTGATGTCAGGACAGTACGACATCTACCAAGGTACGACGACACACTGAGCCCCACATGTGTCAAACTGACAGGCACCGGCTAATTTACGAATCAAAATAAGAGGGACGGTTTGGTTTGAGTACTGAAAAAGAACTGCTTCATATCTGAAATTGAAGCTGAATGTATTTCACATTCACTCAGTGAGTCGTGAGAAGAGTGGAGGCAGATTAATGCTCCTGGTTTTGGAGTGACGTGTTCAGCTATCACATATAATGATCAGGCGACCACATACTTTTGCTCAGTTTAGTGTGAGTTGCTGCCTGTAGAACAGCGTCCATTTGTTACCAAACGTTTGTTCTTGACTTTGTCTTTCGACTGGTTTTCCTCAGTGCTGGGAGAGGTAATTCAGATCCTTTACTTAAGTCAAAGTACTAATACCACACACAAAATACTCCAATACAAGTAACAGTTTTGTATTGAAAAGGTTCTGATCAGGAAAATGTCCCTTGTGGCTATTCTATATAACATTATTAAATTAATATGGATGTATTAATGTTTAAGCAGCATTTTACTGTTGTAAGAATTCAGAAAATTCCATCATAATCACCTACACCCCATTTTGACAGTTGTTTGTTTGTCCAATAAATAGTCCAAACCTCGAAAAATGGTTAAACAATTATCAAAGAAATACATTTTCTCTCATTCGACTGATTAAATTACTAATCGTTTCAGCTCTAATTGTATATAGGGTTTGGTAGTTGCAATCAATAACAATTTATTTATTTATAAGCCCTTCATATGTTTGTACACAAAAATCTTAATCTTTAAAGTAACTCCAGCTGATAAATGTGGTGAAAGGTACCACATTTCCCCCTGAGATGTAGTGGTTCTGTTGATCTTTCACAGCTGGTTTTCTCACTGTGTTCTTGCTCCATGTTGAAGGGCTGAGCTCCAGGTCGCTGGTCTCCAGTCAGCAGGTGTCAGGACACTCCTCTACAGGTACGTTTGAAACACTAAAGCTGTGTGATGTTAATATCAGACTATGATAATCAGAACTTAACGCCAGATATGTTCACATTTAATTATCTACTGCTCCACTAGTTTCCTGTCGTTCCTTAAAGATATTTTAGGAACCCAGTGAGTGTTTGTGGCATCATGGCAAAATGTGGTCCTGGACACACCTACTGTAGCGGGAACTACCACAGGAGTGGTTTTGAGTACTTTGCCAGGTGTTTATGTCTGTGGACAGATTTTGTCAAAGCGATAGCATCACATCGTCAAGATGATCAAAATGAAGGCAGAGTTTGAAGATGAGTGTGGTCTGAGCAAAGGCGCCGGAAGTAGGTGGGTTGGAAGTAGGGAAGGGACTATTGGCCCTTCCACTTTACACTCCTGGGCCAAATTCGTTTTAATCTACACACTAAAGACCATCTTGCGGCGACTGTCAACACGTTGACGTTCTGACCCACTGTCAAAAGGGAACTAACACAGAGATGATTTTCAGTATTTTGCCAGATGTTTATATGTCTGTCTGTCCGTCTTTCTGTGGACAGATTTTGTCAATGTGAAAATGTCACGTCATATGTCATTACTACGTGTGTTAAAAAAAAACATGTGAAACACAATAAAAACATGCCTAAGTTATAGGCATAAATTCACCTTTTTCACTTTACTGAAGGTCATAAAATAAAGGCATTTTCTAAAATGTAACAGTATATATCATATATCAAAACCATGACACGCACTCACACACACACACACACACACACACACACAGACTGCACACAGTGTCCAGTGTCATCTTGTTGGTAGCACTGTGGTTTTCTTTTTAGTCTTTTAAATGTTTTCTTAGTTTCTCTGAAGAGTATATTTAGCTCGATGTGCTTTCAGTGTAGAGCACATTGACTCATAGATTATCCACTAAGTTTGCATCTTAAGAAATGAATTGGCTACATTTTTCTTTCATGAAATGCAAACAGGGAGCAGAATAAGCTGGAGAATTGCCTCATCTTCAGGCCGTCTGGTGGGTCAATAAATCAAATATCTAGCCCTTCTCTACTGGGAATAACAGCTCACCACTTAATCGGCTCTCTGAGGCTCGTGTCTTGTTGCCTAAATTGCCATCCAGTAGATCATTATCCGCTTTGCAGTGTTTTCCATATATTTTCATAGGCCATATATCACTGCCTTTGTTTGAAAGTGTGAAATAATGCAGAGGGAACTTGCCAGGCAGTTAAACAGCATAATGTGATGATTACCTAGTGCAAAGACTGCAGTTATCTATAAATGGTAATTGCTGTGAAATAAAGGAAATTAATAGGAGTGATGCTGACAGTGGAAGCAAATAAACGCCGAAAATGAAGAAGAATACCAGGAGTTTTCTACTGAAGCCAAACACAGCGGTGGTTGCTAATGTTTAGGCCTGATATCTGAAGATCACTAATTAATTATCTTCTTATCTTTTGAACAAGCCATTTTCATACAATCACAACTTCATTATCTCTTTATCCCTAAGATAATGGTTATTTGTTTATTTTTTAAGTTAGATTGACATATAACAATTTTAGGCTACCTCACAGCATTGCTAACATGTCCCAAATTGTCCCACACAGACACACTCTTTGTCCCACATTTGGTCTGTTGGGATATGGGCACCCTACCTTGACGTCACCTATAGGTTTCTGAATAGCCGCCGTGAAGCTCAGTGTGGTCGGCTCTGGCCGTTGCCATCTTAGCAGTCCTGACTTGGCTAATCCAAAAATGGGCAAATAGGTGGAGATGAGTTGGGCTGAAAAGACACCTGTGTCAAAACACACCTGTTCTTAATTATGCATAACTTAAAGTCTTGATATAATTTAAACTGGTGAGTTATATAAAAATTCATGTTTATTTCTACTGTGAAGTTGGCCATTTTAATATGGGGTCTAATGGAGATTGATCACTAGTAGCGAGCCTCAAGTGGCTGTTAGAGGAACTGCAGTTTTTGTCACTTTGTGTGGGCTTCATTGGCCAGCCCATTTTTTATCATTTATTTTCCACATTACAGCCAAAAGTTGGAGTTAATTTAACTATGAAAATCAGTTTGCAAACTTTAGATTTGTTGCCCTCATTTATTTCATGAAAGTGATGTTATCTACGTTATGTAACATTTCGCATATTCTGCTCATGTTTACAAGTTGGAACTGAGATTCAGTTTTGAGATTCAAATGTCTAATTTGTCAGTAATGCTTCGTTAAACTGTGTTCAGACAATTTTAACCTATATGAATGCTTGTCTGCTTCAACTTGCCATGCTTAAAGCAAAACCACAAGCACTCCTTTCTCGTCTTTTGATTGATTTTCACTTCTCGTCTGAATACACCTAATGTACTGACTCTAGTTCCTGAAAGGCCAATATGTGACTAAAAGCATTTGTTTTTTCCTCTTGTCTCCATAGACAGCGAAGGGAAGAAGTAGGACCATGTGACCACGTCTCACATGAGGAACGGCAGATTTATCAAACATCAATTCCATGGTGTTGAATAAGCTTCGCCTCGCTGAGAGGCAGAGAACACAAATTTAAAAACCTCTTTCATTTCTTACTAATGACAACCATCTGTTTTATAACACGTCTTTGAGGGACAGAGGGACAGAAAGCATGATCGGGACCTTTTTGAAGGAGGAACTATCTGTACAAATCCAGATCACTGACTTTTGAAGCTTTCAGTTTTGCAGGATTTTGACAGAAGCAGGCGGCATGTATAAAACAAAACAACCCAGAGCGCCGTGCACTCAGCCCTGCCGCGGCTTTATAAAATGCACATTTATCGTAGTGTATTATGATGATGATATGACTGAATGTACTGATGATGACTTACATTATCCCAATAGTGTTGATCGTTTTTTTAAACTCCTATTGGGAAACAGCATTAGGAAGCTAAAAAGTCTATTATTATCCTTATTATTCTCATTCTGATTATTGAAGTGGTCCTCCTCCCTCCATAGTGCTGACGCTACATTTGTATTACTAACCTGTACTTGAGCGTAACCATGTTGATTGTATTGTCTTTATGTGAGAGTAAACCTTCACATCGACCTGCCCAGTGCCATGTAGGAACCCAGTGGTGTATATATTCTGTACAGATTCATGGCAGAGCACTAACATGCTTTATCGTACTCTATGTTGATCTCCATCAGCCATGCAGGGGAGCAGTGAGCAGAGCGGGAAAACCAGCAGAAGCAGAACCACTCCTTCTTTGTTAGTTGACTTCAGCTTATCTGCAACAGTTTGTCCCTTAGGCACATGTTTCAGTGATGTAATTAAAGTTGCACAAATGATGTTGCACATATCCCATTGGGTTAAAGCTTAGAGTAAGTGTGTCCTTTAGTGAATATTAGCCCCAGTTTGTGCCTCTTGTTGGTACAAAAGAGGGCAAAACAATCTCACCATGAGGTCTGTTCAGTAGCAGGTTTTTAATCGTATCACGCCATCTCCCTCAGCAGACGGAGTTTGCCCAGTCGGCAAGGAATTGTGGATATTAAAATTTCCATCTCTCTGAGCACTTTAAGGACTTCTTGTCCATGTTTGCATCATAGTTGTCACCGAAAATGTGTTCTCTGAATCAACCTTGTGGTCCAACTACCATTTCATGGCAACTAGGTGATATGACTGAAAGCTCCAGAGCAGCTACTTAAAGGACCTTATGGTGAGACAGTTTTGCCACATGAAAACAAAGTTACCTAACATTAAGTAGCTCATTTTCAACTAACCATTGATCTTTTCCAACACTAACCAAGTAGTTTTAGTGCCTAAACCTAACCAAACGTTAGTGCTGACAGATGAAAATGGCCACATGAATCAACAGGGTAACAGTGTTGTCGTATATGGGTTGTATTTAAAAGCTATGTGAAACTACTATTTTGCCATTTAGTTTGGAGCACTTGTTGGACTTTTGCATTGATAATTACAGTCAACACTACACTGTTGGAATATTCTTTGCCCCAAACAAAGATGACGACTGAACTTGAATAGGAACTAGCTTTCATTTCCAGTTGCCATCTTCATTGATTGAGCCAATCCACCAATCCAGTGTACACCAGAGGAAATATAGAAAAAAAGAGTGCAAGGATTTGTCTTCAAAATGTGCTAAGGGTCGGGGCGCCCGGTAAGCTCAGTGGGTAGAGCTGGCGACCCATGTACTGAGGCTGAGTCCTTGCTGCAGCGGCCCAGGGTTCAAATCCGACCTGCAGCCCTTTGTTGTGTGTCATCCCCTCTCTCTCTGCCCCCCTTTCCTGTCTATTTTCTGTCACTATCATAGAGGCAATAAAAGTGCTAAAGGTTGATCTGAGTTGTTGGGTTATCACTACAAAACAGTGACTTCTTATTATTTGACTTGAATACAGTCATCAATCATCAGCAGAGATTTTTAATGTAAAAATGTTTAAATCAGAGGTACAACCTGGGGCCAGGTGAATGAATACTGGTGATGGATGCCAGTGAGTGTGTGCTGAAGGCATGCTATTCAGTTTGGACATGAAAGACACATGTACTAGCTATACTTTTATTCACAGCACCTATGAAGGACAGTTCCAGTGTTTACATGAGTGTTTGCTCATTTTCTACATCCATTTCTTTATTATTACCTCAGCAGTTGGCACTATGCTCAAAACTAAATGAAATTTGGTGTTTTGCTCAGGTACAATCGTGAGTTTGTGACCAAAAAGTAGCTTCATTGTTTGTCAGCCAAACTCCAAATTTTCATACTGGCCATAGTTTTTTTGTTTTACCTCGCAGAGTGAGGCCAGTCTTTGTATATTTACGTCTTGTTTTTGGTAATTTACAATTGTGTAGAACCATTTGCTTGCGGCGCCATATTCAACTGCAGTTTGAGAACATGCTAAATTCAGTTTAGTTTTGAGTATAATGTTACAGCTTCAAATTGATGCTTTCCTGTGTACTGGGAAGACAGTATAAGACAGTGTTTCTTTCAGAATATTTATTTTGAATAAAACCAAGTTAACAGAGAACTAGAAAATATAATTTAACGCCATAAAAGCTGGAAGATCAGCTACTGTATAATGATAGAAAACAGCAACAGTGATGCAGGAATTCATTAAATCACACTGGAATTGTCCATTAAATAAAATGTCCACATTTATACTACCAATGATCCCACAATCCTTTGCTCTGCCCCTGCTCCCATGCCACCTACAAGCTAACTAGCTCACTGCAGAGCCTCTGATAGACAGAATTGTCAGGTTTTACCATTGGTGCCAAACCACTGCCACATCACTAGAACAAAGTAGTGTTAGCAACAAGAATTGGACTGATTATTCTTCATGGATCCAGCAACCAGGCCTGCGACATTTAGACCAATGTTGGGCTTCTGGCTGCCTGTGATTGGCTTGTGGTTGATGTCTTTCCAATTTTGTCTATTTGTCCCACTGTAACTCTGTGGCTCCTCCATCTGGCATTAACATTGCTACTTGTAGTACCCAGCTGATATTTGCTCACAACACAACATGTTCAACACACACATGCCAAATTCATATACTGCCAGTCTAATGGGGGAACTCATTTCTTTCAACTAACATAAATAGCACTGAAGGCATTTTTGTGGGAATTACAGTCACCCTGCTCACTTGTTAGGATCATTTAGCAAAGCAGTAGTTTTAGGCTGTGTCTGAAATATAATGGACACGCAACAGTGAGCAGCAAATTCAGATTTCATCATTTTGTGTCATCATTGACAGCTATTGAGTCACACAACTGTAATTTCTGCATTTATATATTGTGGTGCATTGCATTGTGGGAGTGATAGCAGCAAAATGAACAACAACTGTACAAAGTAGTGTCCCTGGCATGAACACTACTAGTGCTTTCAAGTTGTACATACAGACCATAATTATGAGCAGCCCAATAGAAAAACCATTCTTGTTAGCCTGCTAGAGATATCAGGAATTTCCTGTGATATCTTCTTCTTGGCTAAAGGCATTAGAGCAGTATCAACAAAACGGCGTGGCTGTAAACATCCAAATAAAATTGAAGATTTGAAGATTAAAACTGATGCAATTGATTTAGCTAATTAAATTGAGCCTGATTAAAAACAAACTGCTACAAATATGTGACACAATTTAGGTTTGATTTTATTTGTATCAGTGTGAAAACATGGCTCGTACTAGTACTGTAACAATCTTGGGATAATGTGGGAACACTCCAAAGTCTAAATAATTTACCCTTTCCTCCCGTTCTGCCAACGCAGCATAATGCAATGTTCACATCATGTGGGGTGGAAAGTATTTACTTGCACATTTGGAAAATTCCCAATCCCAGTGGCCCAACCTTGTCTATCAGCAGCTCTGCCTCACACACAACACCTTACCTGCATAGTATCAGTGATCATTCTATTACTTGAATATAGTGCTATGAACTCTGTTTACAAAATGCTGTCATCTTTTGGGAGACACTTGTCTTATAAAGGCTGCTTGGTATGTTCAGTTCATCTACCCGGTGTATCCAGTTAATAACACACTGAAATCGTATAAACATGAAACCTGCTGTTGCTTTTTTATACTGTATATGCCTTAATTCATATGTTTGGCAATCATGATTAAAGGATGTTTATATATATTCTTTTGTCTGTGGAGTTTTCTCTTTATAAGTGGCATTAAAAAAACCAACATGTTTGGCTTTTGCTATAGTACATTAACAAAAGTCAGTATATTATAATAAGACACACTGATATGAACAATAGGATTTATATGTTATAAAATACAGTATGCTGTTAGAGGTACTGAATTTAAAAATGTATCATGAATTTTGAAATTACAGTACTAAATGACTCATGACTTTGGCAAGTTAATTGGTGAATGTACTGGAGTTTAAGAAGGAGACACTGTATCAGTATAAGTGAATTAATCATTAATATTATTACTCTTTTTTTCCATTGTGGTGTGATTACTGGGACTGATGCATAACCAGCTTAATCTATAATAATATACACTAATTAATTTGTTCATTAAATTTTGTGTTTGTTATCTGAATGTGCAAAATAACTAGCTGTCAAATAAATGTAGTGGAATAAACAGTATAGCGGTGTGTGGTGTCCTCGCCCTGCTGTTCCACCTCCTACCGGCAGAGGGCGCTGAACACTCAAGCCTCTCCGTCATCACTTCCGCTTTTAAAACAAAATGGGTGGCGCCAAAGCTTGACAACAAAGCGGCTGTGCAACGGACAGTCAGCCTCCGAGTAAACAAAACCTCTGCTGTGTGTAACTTTTTGTGTCCTCAAGTAAGCTGTGACTCCCTCGGAGGTGTAAAGAGGAGTTTGGCCGTTTGAATAAACAGTTGAGAAGTTTGCCGTCAGAGCTGTCAAATGTCGTCATGGCTTCGAAGACAGACCAACTGCTCATCGTTGTGTCCATCCTGGAAGGTAAGCAGGTGGAAGAGGCGGATTATAACCTGTTTAACTGCGCTCCGTTAGCTTTAAAGTAAAGTATACAGGACGCGTTACCAGGGTGAGACTATAGCCGGGGTTTTAATAAGTACTTACCAACACACTGGAGTTATACGAGTGTCATTTGTAGCGTATTAACCAGCTGAGGAAACAGCAGCCCGTTAATGCTGCTGTTGTTAGCTCGGACAGTTTAATCCACCCTGAAGTGGCGTTAACTTAACGACCAGAGCTGGAGACTATCTATTTCTGTCACAAAGGACACAGACTTCAAAGGCTTTTGGAAGGTGCTATATAAACTTGACTTAGTACAAGCCAGATCTTGAAATTACACTGCGACTGCATGTGTACTAGTGTAACCTACATCTTTGTTGAGATTGTTGAGAAGCTTCTTAAGTCTGCAAACTGTGAATGTAATTTAATGTACGCTGGTTTCTCAAAGGTGTCATTTTGTAGAAACTCTGAAATTGTTTTGGTTGTTGGATTTAGATTTGAGCAATATTGAATACATCAGTATTATGATATTAAAATCAAGTCAGATTTTATTCATATAGCCCAAAATCACAAATCACAATTAGCCTCCAGGGGCTCAACATCTGTACAACCACCTCTGGCCCTCGATTTTGGTAAGAAAAAACTTTTTTAACAGGGAAAATGGGAGAATATGAGACTGTCTGTGACATGTTGTTGTATCACGATACAGCTTAAATGTGTTGCTTTCCTCATCTTAAAGGCTGTGTTATGGTAAAATGATATATTTTACACTTATGCAACTGTCACAGCTGAGTGATATTTAGTTTCATCTGTATTACACAGTGGCTTTTAAAGAGGCCCGTAGAGAAACAACAAGAACTTGAGAGTAGTGAATTATGGCAGGTGAGTCAGGTGGATTTGTTTTCTTTAAATCTACTTTTTTAGTTTTGCTAGTCTGTTAGGCTTTCACAAAAAAGTAAGTCTAAGGCTAACCACTTGTAGATTTATTATGTATCTGTTGCTGATTTAATGTATGCAATGTAAGCAATAGATAGGCTAAAGAGGCTGCTGGATAAACAAACCTACCAGCCAACTCTTTCTGCAATGGACTCATGACTGGTGGTGATTTACCAGCTTGAGACTGCAAGTGAAAATTAGTTTTCTCTGTCTTTCCTTCCCCAGGTCGTCACTTCCCAAAGAGTCCCCGGCTCAGTCTGGTGGTCCAGGCGAGCTTCGATGGTGAGCAGCTGGCCACAGACCCCGTAGAGCACAGAGATCAGCCACAGTTCAGCACTGAGCTGGCCTGGGAGCTCGACCGTAGGACACTTCACCAACACAGGTCTGCAGCTCTTACGTGTTGTCGTTGCAGTTTGAATTTTCACAATAATGAATTTACAAAAAGGGATTTGAAAAAAAAAAAAAAAACAGCAAAAAAAGCCAAACTTCTCTCACTACTGATTTTGCAATAATCAGTTGTTTTACCAGCTTGTCAGACAGACTGTGTCATTGTCATAGATTTAGAGATTTAGAGATTTATACCTTTGTTTTCAAATATTTGGCATTTTTGCTTAAACCTAAGCTTGACCTAAACGATTAATCGATTGTTTTTTTTGTCGTTCAACTAATTGATTAATCAACTAATTGTTTCAGCTCTAATTGACTGCTGTGTTCAAGTATAGCACTGATATGTTATTATACTAACGTTATGTTCAGAATACAACAAAGAAATAACTATTATACTGTATTGTATTGTATTGTTGACCCTTTCCATCTCTAATGTTTGATTTTGTAAACTGTGTAATATTGATGCATCTTGTCCTCGCAGACTGCAGAGAACTCCCATCAAGCTTCAGTGTTTTGCTGTTGACTCTGTGAGTAAGAAGAGAGAGAGTGTCGGCTACATTGTCTTGGACCTCCGATCTGTACAAGAGGTCAGACAGGTAAATCGGTGTGAAATATTGAAATAGAGTTAAGTGTTAAGATCAGTGACATCCTGCTTCTGCTCACTGGGACCACATTAAGAAGATATTTTTGTTTTGAGTTTTGATAAAAGCTGTTATGAGTGATGTGAAGATGTTTTTTTTTCTGTGTGTTTGTGTCAGGAGCCTCGCTGGTATCCGCTGCTGAGCAGTAAATACACCAAACAGAGACCAGCGCTCCTCCTCGGCATGGTGCTAGAGAACGACACCAAGCCCTCCGAACCCTCTCCTGATAGGTTCAAAGCCAAGAAGGCCCCACCCCGACAAGGTCAGCTAATTTATCAATACTGATTGATGCTGACAATACTGTTTGTGCTGCTCTCACTTCTGTGCTTTTCTCATCTCTTGTATTTGTTTATATAATAGTTATAGTAAATGGTAAATGGACTTGTATAGCGCCTTTCTAGTCTTCCGACCACTCAAAGTGCTTTTACACTACGTGCCACATTCACCCGTTTCACACACATTCACTCAGTGATGGCAAAGTCCATCGAACAGAACCTAACATTCATACACATTCACACACCGATGCACGGCATCGGGAGCAATTTGGGGTTCAGTATCTTGCTCAAAGATACTTCGACATGTGATCGGACCCACAACCTTCCGATTCAGGAACGACCCGCTCTGCCTCTGAGCCACAGCCGCCCCAGTACTTTGTTTCTTTTTTTTTATCTCACTCATACATACAGCAGTTTCATAATGTAGAGATGAAGGTTAAAACTGGGAAAGTCAAAGGACAAGGACGTGAATAAATGCTCTGTGCCCCAGGCTGTTCAATGTTTATATGACTGTGAATCAGTGTGATGCTGGAAAATAACATGTTCAGCAGTAATGTGTGTGACTAAAAACCATCTTTAAAGTCTAAAACTAACAACTTTGTGACAAACCTTTTTGCTGGCAGTCGGTCCGCTCTGTTTCTCTGGTAAGCTGTCAGTGCTGTGTCGGACCTGATATTCTGAGATACGATAGATTCAGGACAAACAATTTAACATCTTTAGCCTCTAGCCACATCGGTGGATGCTTTCAAGTCACTTTTTACTGTTACAGTAAAACATGATTGATAGCCCATGCAACTATTTGTGAATCTGTCAAGATTTGTTGTAATAATAGTTCTGTGCTATGAGTAATTTAAAAGTAATATCTCTGCTAAAGTGTCCGGTCCATTTATTAGCTAGCATGTGACGTGTTAACATCCCACACTGTAGCATAGAGTATGCGCTTAATATCAGAAACAGCGTATGTGCTGTGTACTCTGCTATCTGTGCCCCTGTTAGAGTTAAATCCTGTAAAACATCTGACATGTCTGCAATGCTACAGCTGTTACCAGGTTTCCAAACTGTTTAAACATTCATTGTGTTCATCAGTGTTTCTTGTGGTTGTGTATAGGCTCAGCAGGTTCACCTCCTCTGCTCACTGGACTTAATTCTGTTTCACATTACCTTTTTATTGTCTTCTGTTCTCCTATCCCCTGTCCCTCTGTTGTTGTAACTCTTGTGCTTTTCTGCTGCTGTAGGTTCTCCTGCAGTGACTGACTTGCTTCCAGACAACCTGGATGCCACACTGATCCCAGACCAGGGTTACCATCAAGTCGGACCTGCAGATCACTGCTCTGACATGTTCATCCTGTCCGTCACTGTGGCCTTTGCTACCAAATTAGAACAGGTAAGGACAGTACTCTGCCTCTGACCTCTCATTGATAACCAACCTGAGCTGAGTTACCAAGTAGTGCAGTCTTGTTTTTTCTTCAAATAAAGTTGCCACATCTGGAATAAAGTTTGATAAAATAAAGTAGATAAACACTCACCTTTTCTAGGCTGGAAACTCATTTGTTCTCACTGTCACCATCATTGTTGCTTTTTGACTTACACACACATACTAATAAATCCAGCTGACAATATCAGACCTGTTATTTAGGGCTGTCTTGAGGCAGCCTGGGAAGTGTTAAACAAACACTAACTGAAGCTGAAAAAATAAAATTACAACAGTTAATCAGAAGTTGAAATTCACAAACTGATGATAATGTGACAATGTAAGAACATCTCAGGTGGAAACTGTCGTTTAAACATTATTGCTTCAACTGCTTCAATAAGGACAGTCTGTCGCCCAGAGAGTCATAAGAAGACACTGAAGACGCAGACTCTGTCGTAGCGACCAAATTAAACCAATTTCTTTTGTCACACTAACCTGTTCTTTCTCAAGGCAGTTAGGTAGTATATAGTTTTCAATAGATAGCGCTTAATTTAAAATGTGATGAATTTATAAACAATGGTATTGTTTGTCTTTATTTAATTTGGAAAGCCAAATTAAAAAAGAGTGTATATTTAGGATGTAGTTCAAAAGTTACTTTTTTTTAAATTATTTTTCTTTTTTTTTTTTAAATCTGTATCGACCATGGAGTAAAAAAACAACACTTTTTTGCCAGTATGCAACACTGAAACCTGCAGAAACCCAGTTTTGATTTAGATTCATGACAGGAAAATTGTGAAAGCTATTTGACTTTTTTTTTGACATTTTAAAGAGTGTAAATGCTTGACTAATCAAATATATGGCATAGTCTATATATTAATCAAAAACGCAGCTTAATATGTGCAGCTGAGGATCTGGCAAAAATCTCTAGCTTCTTTACATTATATTTTATATTATTTAACTTTGATTAAACCCAAAATAAATCTAAAATGGTCATGTAAAGTACATTTTTCAGCACTTTTTGCTGAATGGAATTGAGACAGTAATATTTTGAGTCCAAATTTAAATTTAGTGAATTGTTATTGAGTGCTTTCTTGTTGTTTTCCGTAGTTGATCCCCAGCACTAAGAAACTCTCAGCGGAGGGGTCAAAGTTCTTCTTCTACTACTCTTTACTGGGGAACGACATCACAAGTGAGCCTTTCCACAACCTGCTGAGCCCTGACTTTGAGCCGGAGCGTGCCTCTGTGCGCATCCGCAGCAGCAAACAGATCCTCCAGGCCTTCCTGTCTCAGCAGCCCAGTTTACAGGTGAGACTCAAAGTGTGTGATGAGCAGCACATTTCTACCTGTTACCACCTGGCTATGTATCATCATATGTTTCTGCCTGTCCTCCTCAGATTCACCTGTGCTGTGGGAATCACTCTCTGGGCAGCACAGATGTTTCTCTCTCAGCTCTGTCTGCTGTTTCTGTGGATCTGGAAAACAAGGCAGCAACGGTGGAGGGAGCATTTGTACTCCAACCTCCAAAACGCGTCAAACAGACGCTGCCGGCTCTGCCCGCCGACTTGCAGCCGACTGTAGGAGTGGCTGTTACCCTGAGGAGGGAGGAGGTTGCACCACAGGTACACTCACCTAGGAAATGTTTTTAAATTGAAAGTATTCAAAGTGTTGTGTTTGTGATTAAATGTGGTCATTAAACACAGTATTACATTGCCCTATTTCTGCTCACTTTGTGTTGTCTACCTCTGGTAAAGCTAGATATACATATGTTATTTAATAATTTGACAAACCTCAGAGAAAAGAACATCCTTGGACTTGTTGTGATAATAGTTATAATAGCAATAGTGCAGAAAGAAAAGAGCCCAGTTTTGTGGTTGCACTGGATTCTGGTCTATTTTTTTGCTCTTTTGTGTGAAGAAGAGGTTCTTTCTGCCTCATCTATACTGGATTTTTTCATTTCTGTCTCTATATAATCAATCACCAGTAACTGGTATTATATTAGTGATGGTTTGGGGTGTTTTTACACTACATCACAGCTAATTGAATAGACATACATAAATGAGGATTATCAAACCTGGACATGAATACTTGTCAATGCACACACATGAAATTAGTGTGTGTGTGCGTGTGTGTGTGTGCAAGTGAGATTGGGTTCACTTGTGCAACACCAGGACATTATGTCATTATTAACCTTTCCGAGGCTTTGTAAACAAAGAAGACATAAAACAGATAATAGCTGACAGCTAATGTTTTCATATTTTTCTCATATCTATCAGGGATCTACTCGTATGTTTTCTCTCAATAAAGCGATCATCAGTCACAGATCTCCAAATGGAATAATGTTGGGAACAAAATATCTAGTTTAAGATCAGTTATGTAGTTTATGCACGCTCACTTCAATATGACATCAGTCTGGGATATAAACTGTCGTGTGGTGAGAGCAGCAGACTTTACTCAGCATCATTTTAGACTGACAGTCACATGGCCTTCTGTCCTCTCTCCAGTCTTTAGGGAATAAAGGAAGTGGAGCTCAGACACACTCCAACCCTGCTCCTCCTTCTGTCCCTCCCTCTGTTCGTACTGCTGAACAGAGACCTCGAAGCTCCTCTCCCATCCGAAAACCTCCTGACTCTTCTCCTCCTGGTCCTCCCCTTCCTCCTCCTTCCTCTCATACAGAGAGTGAAGCAGAGAGTCTGCTGGAGGAGTTTCAACAAGGCAAAGAGCAGGCAGGACTGGCAGGTGAGATGTCATTTTCCCACAAGAAGTGTGACAGTTAAAAGTCAAACTGGATGACCAAGAGAAGAAACATTGTGTTTGTTCATGTGTCCAGCTGCAGATTTGGAGGTTCCTGTGCAGCTGCACACACAGACTGAAGCTACAGCAGAGGGTGGAGCATCATCTGTCAGTGTGTCTGCTCCTAAAGTGTCCATCCCCTCCTCCGCCCATCACTACTGTTTCTCTCTGGACCTCCACAGCCTGGGAAGCCTCAGCCTGACCCACCCCATCGCTGCTACGCTCAGGTGAAAGACTTCATCTGCTTTTTAACTGAGTCACAACTACAAGCAGTCACTGAATGTTTCATGGAAAAAAATAAAAGTCATACTTTATGCATGTGAGGTTTGTCCACATATATGGGCAGTTAGTCTGGAAATGTTAATCTCACCTTTCTCCACAAGGTCGTTAAGATACCATTTTACTCACAAGCTTCACTGTAAAGACACAAAAACACAGTGTCACAGTTACAATAAATAGCTTAGTTAGTATATTCACCTTTATTTTCATGTCTAGTGAAGTATTGTCATAACAGATGAAAATGAAAGGCAACACCTTCTTACAAATGGCTGTTAAGAAAATGTATATTGAAACTTTGCATTTTAGCCCCTAAAAGAGCCAAGTGCCCAACCATTCAGTGCAGTACAGTGGTCTAAATTGTATTCTATTATTTAATTATGGTGTATGTTTGTTGTATTTCAGATATTCTTATCAGTTCTTCGGCAGTCCAGCTCCTATCATGACCAACCCTCCTGTGGAGCTGCAGAGGAACATGGAGGCCTCTCTGCCTCAGTCCTACTGCGCCTTTGACTTTGCAGCTCTACCACAGCAACTACAGGACACCTTCCTCAGGTAAACAAAATCTTGTTCCTGGACATACTTAATCCTTAAATTGTATACACATATGCACACAGTGCACTGTTTTTGCTTTGATCTATGTTTTATCAGATTTATCTGTATGTTTTTAACAGACTGTTTATTAGTAGAAATAAAGTTGAAACTTGTACTTTAAATATCAAGTTTATGTTTACCTGGCGAGTCATAGCTCTGGAGATTGGCTCTTCAGGTGAGTTTAGATAGTGGTGTCCACACATGATTTTAAAAAGTGAACAGTTGGCCTTCACAGTTAAAAAGGTTGAGGATGCTTCCCGCTAAATGAGAAGAATATGTAACCTGCAAACGTATACCAGCAGTAGGCAGTAACAGCAAAGAAGTATTTGTCATCAATGCAGATGTGCTGTTACCACAGGCGTGCAGACCAGCTCCCGGAGATTGATCCACCGCAGCTATATTGATAGTTGCTATATTTATAGTACAGATATTGGCACATTTTACTAGTTTGATACTTGTAAGAAGTACACTGGTACTATTTTTTACTGGATACTTGTTTGAGCTGAGTACTCTAGTACTTTACTAAAGGTACTTAGTTACTTGCCACTACTGAATATGTCACTTTAATGGTCTTTGTGTTCGACAGATTATAATATCTACTTACATAAAGGATTACCAAAGAAAATATCAAGAAAAATGTAAAGAAGTAGTTCTGATCTGCTCTGGAATTCAATCTATTATCAAGGCAATGTATGTTACCTTTACAGCAAAGTAGACTCATTTTCTATGTTACATTGTTTTTAATGGGATGTTAACTGATGGGCCAAAGACAATTTTCCACCGTGGTGGAAAGAAAGGTGTGTTTATCACTTTTGTCCAGCAGGTGGTGCAGTAGGACTGTGTGTGGACATTGTTTTTGCCCCTGCAATGTGATGTAATGTGTTTGAACTGACTGTGTATATCTGTGTATGTTGTAGAGTTCCTCTGGTAGTGGAGGTTTGGCACAGGGACTCCACCAGCAGAGACCAGCTGATAGGAAGAGCCTCCATCCAGCTGTCTCACCTGCTGAGCTCTGAGAGGAGCAAGTTACTGGCATCAACAGGGGAGCAGAGCTGGAGACAGTCTCACCAGGACCGGATCCCCGTGGTCAAAACACATCGGTAGGCAACAGCACTGACAGACTGTTCATATGATGCCTGTTAACCACTGTTAAACAACTGTGTTTCCTTCCATCAGTCCCAGTGAAAAGGTGGCAGAGTTAAGCTATGTGGCAACTCTGGAGGATCTGGGATTGGTTAAAGCCAGAGAAGTCATTGTGTCCGACTCTTTGCAGGTGAGACAGGTGTGTGTGTGTGTGTGTGTGTGTGTGTGTGTGTGTGTGTGTGTGTGTGTGTGTGTGTGTGTGTGTGTGTGTGTGTGTGTGTGTGTGTGTGTGTGTGTGTGTGTGTGTGTGTGCACATATATTGGTTGAGGTCAGATGAATAGCAGTATCTTCAGACTTTGTGATAAAGAACAAAGCACATACAGTGTTTTGGGTTCAGACACTGAGGAAGGCAAGTGTGCATTTTAAACCATCCACCTGAGTGTCTGGAATTGTTTTGTTTTTTTTATGCTCTACTACTCATGTTTTTTCCTTTTTAAAATTAAATGATGGTTAATAATTTTTTTTATCAGACTTTTTTCAAACTGAACAGTGATCATAATCATTCAGTTGATGGTTGGTTTAGGTTTGGTTAAAGGTTTGTCCCTTAGGCCTTCAAAAAGCTTTCTTCTCTATGTATGACTGATAATCACTCATGTAAGATGACTTTTATTTCTGGTCACAGTCACACATTTCTTAAAGCTGCCAAAGCCTTTACTAAGATTTTCACACAGTTAAAATATGCATTATAGACCTCTGTATTGAGTTTCCTACTAATATTTTCCCTGTTTCTATTTTTGTATGACATCAGAACGAACCTGCGGTCCCCACAAAGCCATCCTCCCACCCTGCAGCACCCAGACCTGCTGCTCCTAGCCTGAACCCTGCCCCGCTGGGCCCTACAGCTCCAACCGCCCCCAGAGACACCCTGGAGTACCGCACGGCCCTGGAGCTGGAGCTGTGGAAGGAGGAGCAGGAAGACCTTTTTGATGATCAGGTAAACACAGGACTCTAAGTAACTGAAAAATCAAATAAATAAGACTAGATACAAAATTATATTAATATGAAAGTCCTTATATCAAGCAATGCTAATACATAAAATGAATACAAAGATGCTATTTTTTCCATAGATAAATATAAATCATCTGTCACATGTAGATTGATTGGTAGCTCATGATGTTGAGTCATAAAAGTGCACTAGTTTTTTTACTATAAACATTTGCCCATTTCATTTAACTTAATATAAAACAGGTGTTCGACTACTTTGTCACATGGTCAGCTGGGATAAATATGAACACAATTAAAGCATTCAAAAATATTGTTTGTTTAAGTTGAGGAAGAAGGAGTTGAGCCACATGCAGGCTCTGGCAGAGGAGTGGAGGAGAAGAGACAGAGAAAGAGAAGCTCTGGTTAAAAAGAAGGTGAGTTCACACCTACCTATGCAAATAGACACAATGTTTACACATTACAGTAAATACTGAAAGATTTCCTGTGGGACACCTAAATCAAAATTTAATGAGGGAAAAACTGTTTTTCAAATAATGCCCATGTTTTCCTCTTGTCCTATCCCCAAATCTCTGTCTGGGTGTAGGAGGTGGAGTATAACGTTTTGGAGGAGCAGCTTCAGAAGACTCTATCTGATCTGGAGAAAAGGGAAAAACACCTAGTGGAGGCTGAGCTGGAGGTCAGACTCACCTCTGACACCTGACACGTGTTTATAAATGAATGACTTTCATACAGATTATTATATGGAGTGTCTGTTTAGTGTCTTGTTCCATAGTTATTTGCAATGTTGAGATGATTTATGGAAATAATTCTGAACATTAACAAACATTTTAAGTAAGTGATTAATCAACAAATTGTGTTAACACTAATTAAATACATGTGAAATGAACCAGCAGCAAGCAAGACAGTGTTTTTCAATTTTATGACATCTATAATTAGGGACTGAGCCAGCGACCGCTGGAGGTCCCTATTGTTTTTGCTTCGTTTCTTATTCTTACCTATTATTTTTAGCGCCTTTGACTGCGATTTTGCCCCCCTGAATATATACGAAAACTCAATTTTATTTGGCAAAGTCGTCAGGCCTGGTGAAAAATTTGATATTCTATGCGTTGCTTTTGGGTCGGCCACTAGGTGGCGCTACTATTGAGAAAAGTATTTGTACTTTTTGGTTACTTAATAACTCCTGCATAGTTTGTCGCACATTCGCGTTCAGTGAATGGAGCTGAATCTCCCCATATAGGCCCCGTCCACTTCCGCCTATGATTCTTTTTCATTAGAGCGCGAAATGTCCTTAAACTACTTTTTCGTGTTTCTCCTACACCCTATGTCCGATTCGCACGAAATTTTTCTCCTAGCACCTGGGGACCGCCCTGGCAAAAAACGTAATTTTAACATTTTTGAAATTAAAAAAAAGCACGCTATAAAATTAACACTTCCTGTAGATTTTTCGTCAAAAAAAGAAGTGGACCATTTCTCCACATTGGTATGTCCTATTGACACCAAGCTTGGGTCCATAGTTCCCCATGTGTTCCTTAGGCAATGTGCACAATTTCAGGCCATCACCACTAGGTGGCGCTCTTTAAAATTAAAAAGTTTATATCTCTGCAACGGCACGTGTGATTTAAATGAGACTTGGTAGGATGCTTGCCCATGGCTCCCTGAGGCTCACTCAAAAAGGGAAAAAAATCACGCTCTGGTGGCATGGGAAATCACTGTGCGGAGACCGTAATAGTTATGAATATGAATATTCACAGGGCATGTGTAGACTGGTGCCTGAAGGTCACATACCCAAAATCGTGTTTCTTGTGTTTGTAACGCCCCCTACAGGATAAAAAAAAGCAGCCCCGGCGCAACGTTTCACTGATGTGTACGAATCTCGGTAGGCACATGTAACATGCCAAGACGTACAACAAAGCCTCTTGGACATACCCCAAACCCCATGGGAAATCTGCCATTTTGATTAAGATTTTCACTTTTGGCGAACTTTTCACATTGTATTTGAAAGAACTCCTCTTAGGGAATTTATCGGATCTGCTTCAAAATTGGTCATTACAGTCAAAGTATGTTGCTAATTAAAAGTTTGTGCTATTTGTGCACGTACATTGAAGGGCGTGTCCGTGGCGTGCTGTCAGATTTAGCCAGGTTGAATTGTATGTCAAGCATTGATGTCATTTCCACCATTTTGCAGTGATTTTTAAAGGTTTTTTGCATTGTAGTTCAACAAACTCCTACTAGGGAATTTATCGGATTAATGTCAAAATTGGTTAGTACAGTTAAAAAACATTGCTGATCAAAAGTTGTGCTATTTGTGACTGTAGGTTTAACTGCGTGCCCGTGACGACGTGTCCAATTCCACCGATTGGCCATCAAACAGATAGTACTCATATCTTCAGTGTACAGTCCCGCCTTGAACACGTCTACATGACAATATTCAGACATAGTGATTGCGCCACCTACTGGCAACAGGAAGTAAGCGCTGCGTGGCGATTTTCAGCTGATTTACGTGAAAGTTTCATGTTGTGGTCCGCAAGTGTTGCGACGGCATGTGACGCGGCCGCAGCACACCCCGAGTTACATGGAGTGCAAGGTCCTGCCTAACGCTGCTTGCAGCTTTAATTTTTTACCCTGCTCCAATCATACTTTCAGTGAGCACAGAGAAACTTTCCACTTTCAGCAGATGAATGTGAAAACATCCTTCTAGTGTCAAACTCATCATACATCATTCTGCACAGTGAAGGTCAAACAGCCAACTGTAGGGACAAGAAGAAAAACAGATTTTTAAGTGGAGGGGGACTTCAAGGCGACTTTACTCACATAAGTGTATTTATTGGACACTTAGAATAACAATATTATCAAAGTATGCTGCGCAGTTCAAAAGTGTTTTAAGTTCATTTTTACAGCAACTCTTTCTGACAGTGACTCTTCTTGCGTGTTCAGACTCAGAGACTACAGAGGGAGCTGCGGGCCGAGCACGATCTGACCCAGAGGGAGCTGCAGGAGAGCGGCAGGAGGCTGCAGCAGGAGTGTGACCACAGGATGGCGCTGGATAAAGACAAAGTCCGACTGATGGAAGAAGAGAGAGCCCGACTGCTGCAGCAGGTACAGAGAGAGTACTCCTGTTTGTGTGAAAGTGTTTCTAAATGTTCAAGTTTACCTTAAATGAACTTCTTTTACTCTTCAGATTGCAGACGGGGAGTCTCGGTACAAACAGCTGGAGAAAGAGTTCCAGCTCTACAGAGAACAACAAAACATCAGACCTGAGTTCAGACTGCAGTCAGAGATAAACCTACTGACTCTAGAAAAGGTAACAATTCCATATCATTACTGCAAGGTAATTGGTACGTACTATGTCAGACACTTGGAATCACAGTTACTCTTACAGGAAAATCTACTAAAGGAGGTGTTTAGACAGTAACTTGTCCCTTACAATGTAGTAAACCAACATAACAAAGAACAAGTGATGAAAGTTTGAGATTAGTTGCAGTTATACCGTATACTGTATGTAAATGTAGCTTTTTTGGTTCTAATTTTATTAAAATTTACATTTGAAGGTATCCTGTGGAAGTTATGACTTTTAGTACGGCCGTGGAGCTGTTTATTTATGATTCATGCCTACACACACACACACACACACACACACACACACACACACACACACACACACACACACACGTGGGGGACGTGATATAGAGTCCTGCCAAGGGTTTCAGACTATTGCACTGACTAACAGCACTAAGAAATGTAGGAATGTGCCAACAAAGGCAGGGAACAAGAAGACTGCAAGCTAGTAATCATGGATGGAAACAGTACAGGATTTAAAATCTAATCTTTGAAAGGATTATATATATAATGCACAGGGCAGACACATGCATTTGGTGAGAAACATAACTTTTGTTATGCAGTTTCTATACATTTCAAATGTTTGTGTGCAATAAAACAGTTTTTTCCCCTGTGATGAAGATGGATGATTGTGTTTTCAGTATAGTAATTGTGATTTTAATTTTGGCTATAATCATTCAGTCTTACTAAGTGAAGACAAGCTACTGAAGTTGTCTTAAGCTTTTAATCCTTTTGTCAGTCTATAGTGGCAGACTAACAACACCAATATGTCCAGAACTATAACTGTTTCAGAGTGTGTGACTGATGTTTTTTTCTGTGATTATTAAGGTGGAGTTGGAGAGGAAGCTGGAGTCCACCACCAAGTCTAAGCTGCACTACAAGCAACAGTGGGGGCGAGCCTTAAAAGAGCTGGCCAGGTTCAAACAGGTACTGTTTCACTGGAAAACAACCTTTATATTTCAGAGCGTTAGCTTTTAAGAGACCTATAAATTGGAGTCTGTGAGGTCTGTTTTACATCTTTAACAGATCTGGTAGTTTTGCATGTTTTAACCAATCAAACATAAATAGTCATTCTTAGTCCGAAGTATGTGGATCCAAGAGGCCATTAGAAGGAAATTATTTTGAAAATGAGCATAGAAACTAAAACAACTGAAACGTCATAACAGTGGAGATGCTAAACAGAGCTAGGACAGCAACTAATGATTTTTCCCATTATCAATTAAAGTTGATTTTTTTTCCTGATTAATCAATTGTTTGTTCTAAAAAATATCAAAACAAAAGCAATCTCCAAATGTTCAAAACCCCCAAAAGATATGCAGCTTTCCACCAAGCTGGAACCAGTAAATTTAATCACATCAAAATGGTTGAAAATTAATTTGTTCGACTACTCGATTAATCATGTCAGCCAAGTCAAAGCAAGGGACAAAATCTTTGGGATCACGACAACTCCACCTGAGGTAAAAAAAACAACAACAAACAAAACTGAAACAAAAGACGCACCTTTGAGACAAACTTTACCACCCAAATAAAGACGAGCTCGGGCCTCTCTGTCCTGACAGCGGCCATATTTCACAGCAGATAATAGTAGTTTTTCTGTGTTGGGACGTCTGGCGGGTTCAGACGCTGCAGCTTTTTAATCTGCTGCTGGAGACGAGCTGACAGTGTTAGGACATTTAACAGCTCTGTTTAAAGACACACAGCAAGCAGAGGAAACTGAGCTCAGCCCGGCCGTCATTCGTCAGCTGACATCACACCATGGCTGCGGGAGCATCGACAAATACATGAGTACACAAGTACAGTCAGTATGTGATCAGTGAGGCTGTGCGGACTTTGGTTCCATTTAGCCGTGAAAGAAAACAGCAAACTATATTAAAAAATATTTCCAAGTACAGAAATATTGGCAGCAAATTGTGCTAAATTTAAAAGTCCATATCTGTTTGATTAGACCTGTTTTTATTGAAGAATAGCATCGCTAATGAAGCTCCGCTAACCTGGTGACAAACATTTAATTTCTTATGACTTCTTCACAATAAAAGCATCTGGTCAGATCACCACTTTGATTGTGAAGAAGTCATAGGAAATTAACGGTTAGCATTAGCGGTAACTTTCTAAATAAGGCTAATATCTGGAATTACAAACAAAAACACCAGAGTGAACACAGGGAGACAGCTGAGGGGAGTTACGGGTTGGCAGCGGCGGTCCCTGATACCAAGCAGGACCATAGCAGCTCGGCTCGGCACAGCATGACACGGCTATCCCCTTCTATGAGGCTGTTGTGGAAACACATGTCATCCTATTTTGACGTTCAAACGGACCCTCAAGGGCCCTACGGTAAAACCCTGTGTGTGTGTGTGTGTGTGTGCTTGCATATGGGAGTCGAGGACTGTGTGTGTGTGTGTGTGTGTGTGTGTGTGTGTGTGTGTGGGTGTGGGTGGGGGGTGTGTGTGTGTGTGTGTGTGTGTGTGTGTGTGTGTGTGTGTAAAGGAAAAAGTTAAAAAAAGGAAAGGAAAAAGAAAAGAGCGATGGAGAGAGAGAGGTGTGTTTTTACACTAGAGCCAAATATTTAGCTGAGGTGAAGTAGACAATGAAATGTGTGAGAGCCATCAGTTCTTAACAACACACACGCACGCACACAGACACACACACACACACATACACACACAGCACTAAGTGGGGCTTAAGTCAGCCTAAGACTAATGTAAACAGGCACACACACGCACAGACCTTATCTGACAAACTAATAACTGTTACTGACATTAACCAGCTGGAAAACTGGACAGACATTTTTTCTTCTCTTTCTCTCTCTCCCTCTCTTTTCTTTTTGCATCGATCACTTCCTCTTCCATTCCTCCCCTATCTCCCTCTCCCTTCAGTCACTTCTCCTCTCCTTCATTTTTCTCTCTTCTTGCTTGACATTTGCTCCTTTCCTCTGTCCCATCACTCTTTAAGTTCTCAACCACTTTTTTTCTTCCTCTTCCTCATTTTCTCTCTTCTTTGACTCTCTTCCTTTCTTTCTTTACCTTTCTCTGTCAGTTTTTCACCTTTTTTTTACCCACTTTTTTTAAGATCTTTCTTTAAGCAGTCCTTTTCTTACTGTCTAATCCTCTGTCTCAGTCTTCATCCCTTTTTTCTTTTCTCTTTTCTTGATTTCTTTCAGTACATAACTCCCTTGTCCTCCCTCCTTTGTTTTCCAGTCTGTCATTGTCGTTCTTCTTCCTGTCTTTTCCTTTCTTTTCTTTTTGCTCTCTCCATCTCACCCCCCGCTCTAAGTGCCACATCATTGTAAAGAAAACACAGTGTGATTTATGCAGCTCTAAGGGGGTTCGGTGCTGAGTGTCACCCCCCACCTATTAATCATCCCTGGGATTGCGTTGAGCAATAAGCTAGCCAGCCGCTAACTATTCAGATGTCACACTCTCGCTTTTTATAAAATATCAGGCCTGTGTTTACACGACCATCCGTCTTGGCGCTCTGCGGTTTTCAAAGCCGGCGATTGTTTGGTTTTTCTCGGCCTCTCCTCGCCTATTTATTCTCTCCTCTCAGCGCCTCGCATGGCGTGCTGTTTAGTTCAAGTTGGATCATAAAAATTCTTGTCCAAGGAATAATGTGCTTTTCAACCCAGGAGGTGCCGGAGAGGCAGAGTGAGAATTAATATCCAGACAGCACTGAGGTATTAGATCAGAGAGTTAGCCTCGTTCTTTTTAAATTCAAAATATTGGGACAAGGAGCTTAAGTTGGTCTTTTCAAAGCAAAAATATTGGGACAAAGAGATTAAAGTTCTGAACCGAGGAGCTAAATTTGGTATTTTTAAAGTCCAAGTGGAAGGCCAGGAAACTAAATTTGGGTTTTTAAAAGCTGGTTGTAGTGGGAGAGATAACTAAACTTGGTCATTTTTATAGGCCATAAAGAAAGCACATAATTAATGACATATTTATATCTGTAAATCCAACAGTAACATGAGCATCAGTACGAGAGTCCAGTTTACCAAACCAGAAACCCCTGAGAGAAAGTCCTGATGTGAGCTGAAGCTGCCAGTCTGCCTTACAGCTGTCATATTCTGTCTGGATGTCTAACAGAATAAGCCAAACTTCTTACACTAGGGCCACAGAAAATACTGACAGGTGACTCCTAACAGAATAACAGCATATCATAAAGACATATTTGAACCAACAGTTGAACCGCTCCTCTTAATCATCATATAAGGTGTATTCAACTGCAGGTAACCATAGCAACAGTACAGATGTTTAATGTTGCGTTACGAGGTGAAAGTTCTCACTGAAACAAAACTAAAAGTTTTTAAATTATGAAAAATATCCATTCCAATTTACCAAAGCCCACTGTGACATCTTCAAGTAGTTATTAATTAAGTATTATTATTTTTTTCCTTTACTATCATAGCAGACGATAAAAAACACCAAATATTCCCAATTGAGAAGCTGGAGCCAGCAAAGTTTTGGCATTTTTACTTCAAAATGACTGGAACAAAATCTAAATTGTTTTACGATTCATTGTTTATCCGCTCTATAAAAGTAGTAACTTCTTAAATAAATACAGTAGAGTAGGTACTATATATATATTTACTTAAACATTCTCGGTCTTTTTGTTGGGAAGTGGTTTTGAAACATTGTGCATTCAAAATAGTTTTTATTGCATGCTTAATGACCTTGAAACAGAGAGACTGGTGGCGAAAACGAGAATTTACTCTACATCTTATTAAAGACCAGCTTTAACAAAAACACTGAGGAGCTTTGCAGTAAGGCAGTTTTATATTTATGAGGAAACAGAAGTTGTGTTAAACAGATTTTAAATGCGGGGACAAAGAGAGCACTGGCATGGAATCAGAGGATATCTAAATTTAGCAAAATTCTGATCTAACTCAGGAAATATCTGATTGAAGCTTAAGTACACAAGTCTGAAGAAGCAGTCAATGCCAGCTTTTGGTATTCCACAGTTTTCCAGGCTCAGTGATACATCAGAAACATTTTTGTATAAACTCAAAAAGCATTGAGAATCAATTCCCTCTGGAGCCGTTCAGACTAAAACTGTCCTCTCATGATGCAGTAAGTCTGTTTGTATAAAACTGTCGACGTAACATGTCATCTGAGGATTTCAGTATTACTGGTCTCAGTGGAGACTGTCTGATGGTTCCCACTGGTCATTCCTGAAGGTCCAGTATGAGGGTCATATTCCACGCAAACAAGGGATTTCCTTTTAATATAACAGTGATTTTTATTTAGACCCATTAGATGGTTTTCAGCCCAACTGGAGCAAAATCCACACTGCAGAAAACATCAACAAACCAGAGAAGCAATTTACATTTAAAATGGAAAATCTTTGAATCTGACTTGGAAGAAAGAATGACTATTCAAATGCTCTTAACATGGCATAACTGACGCCCCTAAAACTGCTGTAAAAGGCTACTGGCTACCTGTCCTTCCGTCTGAAATCAGCAAACAAAGGGATTACAAATTTAGCAGCATCAGTAGCCGTATTAGAGACCTAAAACAATTATTAATAATAAACCTCCATACCTTCGAATCAAATATTTGCTGCCCAATAGTACCTCATAAAATCTGGGAGGGCCAACCCACCATTTGTTTTACTTTTGCACTAACTATGCCAATAATCAATTATATATTACCTAGTTGTTGTCAGAGAATACTAAACAAATCCGACGGTGGGATCTGTAGTTTTCATCTTTATATTAAGTGGTGTTTTTGACCAGACCAGCGGCCTCTATCGCAGACAAACAGACCACATTCTTAAACCCTGCTCCTGTTTTGTTATCTCTTGCTTATTGCTCTAAAAACCCAACGGAGCAGCCTGAAAACACTGATCCTGACCCTTCAGACACTGCAGTTACAGCAGATATAATAGTGTAGAGTTATTTAACCCTGTGTGGGGCAGACTTAATCTTAGAGCTACAC